CTTTATTGCAGTGAGGACTGTAAGCAGAGCCTTACATAAAAGCACAAAAAAAAAATTGCCAGGAACTGCATCAGCCATAAAAGTCAGCCTGTCTGTAAGAGCTTGCAGGTACATTATAAACCGTATGGCATATCAGCTTTACATGTAGTACATTTATTTTTTTAAATATCTGGCAAATGTTGTTTATTTTCCTTTACTTTCCCTTCCTCCCTCTACTTTTTTGTCCGCTACGGTCTAAAGTCAGGTTGTCTCAAAAAAAATTTTTTTTTTTTTGGTCACTCCCAGGTAGCGTCTGCTATTGCTCCCTTTGGGAACATACATTTGCAGCCACTTTTTCTTTGCAGCCTTTTATGTTGCACAGTCTCTCTGCTTTACCTTGATGGAAGGAAAGAAATTACTATTTGAATTGCAGAAATATATTCTGGAAAACAGTAACATGCAATTTCCATTTACTTAAAAGAAAAACTGTACCAGCTCCAAACAATTCTCCATCAATAATGTATTTTCAGCTAATCAAAGACCACATTCTTCTGGGTTTTCTGACTCTTTGCAGATGTTGTATATTGGTTTATACCGAGAATATTCATTATAGTAAAATGAAATCATAATCTCAGTAGTGATAAATATGACACCACCTGATCTGCAAGTAGAGCAGGAAGGAATTATTCGTAGGTGGGGACCAACTTGTAATAGAGCTGCAATTCAAATAAATGTGTCCCTTTTTTAAGTGTGTAGATAATTATATCAAAATAAAAGTAAATTGATTTCAAGTAGGAAATTCAAAATTAATTCTACCGAACAGAGCTGTTCACTTGGGTGGATCGTTGTCATCATGCTACCTATTCTCCTTTTGTAACAACTTGTTTTAGTAACTTGAGTTCCCTGCCAGAGCTGCGCCCACAGCGCTGCAGATAGCAAGTAGCATTTCACTCTGGGATTGTAACCCTACCTTCCCGTCCGACTGCTCAAGTTCGGAGACCCTTATTATATCTTCATTCAAACTGACAGTATTTCTTCCTCATCCTAGTACTTTCTCAACTTTGTGTTCAAGTTTTTTTATACTTAAAACAATTGCCCATGTATTCCAGCTAGTGATTTAGTCCTGCTCTGGCCCTCGAGCTTATTTAAAAAATGAATGTCTTTCAGAAAGTTCAGCCCAGCCCGATAGCACTTACAACCTTTGTGAAACTCACTGAAAAGTATTTTGCTGTGCTCCTCACAGAAGTACATACCATTATATTATAACCAAAAACATATTAAAAATGTGAATAGCAGTTTTGTGAATTTCCAGTAGATGGATGGTAGATGGCACTTTGGCAGTTTGGGTATATAGATTCAGAATCGATAATTGAAAGAGTACTGATTTTTGTTTACTTTGAAAATATTTTATTATATTTTATTATACTAATGCATTATACAAACATTATACATTCCAGAAGTAGTGCTATAACAATATTTGGAAGTAAATTCTGAAACTAAACTATAGTTAAGTTGGACTTGTGGGGAAAAGGAAGGTTTTACCATGTCTTAATGCTGCAAATGCTGTTATTGATAGAGGAGTTCAAAATTTCAATGAATACATTCATCAGTAGTTGGGGAGGTTTCTTTTGTATGTTGTACTCATGCAGGTTATACATTTTTTTAAGATCAAAAGCGTTTACATTTTTGAGGCTTTCTAAATATACTGATTTTTTATAATGACTTTTTTTTTTATGTTGAGTTCCTGAAACAACTGGAACACACCTAACAAATTCATTATAATCTGACACTTGAATGCCATGCTGGAATTATTCCGAACTTCATGCAACTTTGATACTGCGAATTCGGTAGCAACCCTTTGGTGAATGTTGTTTCAGGGCAAGTGGCGAGTCTCTCTATTCTCAGTCAGAGGGTAGACGAATAGTGATGAGAGAAGGGAAACCTATTTCTGACAACAACAGTTTGTCCAGCTCAGACGGAAAATGGCCCATGAAGAAACTTCTGCGATTTAGTTGAAGCTTTTGACAGTCCCACTGTAAGCTCCCTGGCAGTGGTTTTGTGAGCTCTGCTGGTGCACCACCCGGTGCCACAAAAAGAGCTACCAGCCCTCTGGGAAGAGATGCTCCTCTGCTTTTCATGCTTTACGAAAGCTGTTCGGTTGAGGTCAGTTTGCTTAAATCATGTAGCTTCTACAAACTATTACTTCATAAGCATTTAATGTCAAATGAAGTTTAGGCTTTACCAAGTTACAGTATTTGTTTTCCTGTCTTCCATAATAAGAGTTTGTTGAGTGCTGATGGACTTGCAAGTCTGGGACACTTGGGCTTATGGCTTCTGAAGGTTATTTGTACATATCGAAGGTTATTTGGATTTCGTGTCTAGGTAGAAATGATTAGTTACCTAGCATGCCATTAATAAAGGTATATACATCGATATAGGTATTACTAGCATTCAGGGATCCATGATTGTACAAAATATGACAAGGCAATTTGAGAGTCTGTAATATATCAAATAATTATCTAATAAAAATAGCTTTAAATAAGATGCTTACATATTAAAAATAACTTTTAATAGGCATATGTACTAGTTCTTAATAGGACTTATTTATAAAACCAAGATGATTTGCTTTACTAAACATGAATAATTAATTTGGATATATATTTTTATTTTTTTACATTCTTAGCATCAATTAACATCAATTTGTTAGTTTCTTAACACCAGTTTGTTAGAATAATTTTAAAATTTCCCAAGTGGAAGTCATCCTTTTTCAGCCTGAACTTTAATCTTGAGCCAAAAGAGGGGGAAAAAACTCTGAAAGACTAATTGGTATCGCAAAATCCATTTTCATGCTACAAGAATCAACTCTGATCTAGTTACTATAGTTCTGAAGGTGCATGATTACTGTTATTTCTGTCAGGTACAGTAATACTTCATTCTGTCTTTCATTACTTCTTTACTAAAAAAATTACAATATAGGTAAATTAGTCATCAATCTATTTTTATATTTGTTTGTTTTTTAAATAAATTCTGACTCAACAGCTAAGTGATCAGTAGAGTTATCAACTATTGCCAGAATTGTTGATTTGGTGAGATGGGGATACCATGCTGAAAGGTTTAATGGAATAGCATTAAATTAAAAGTTTTTCATTTCTGCGCTTGGTTTTAGATAGCTTATTTTTTAGAGTGCCTAAGTAGTCCGAGAGCTATTTCCCACAAAATTGTTGTGTGTTTTAACAATAAGGCATCTTATTACAAAATATAAACCGTTCAATAAAAATGTGACCAGAACTCTGAAAGATTCTGGAATTTTTCCAATTATTTCTATCTTCTCATAAATTTTGCCTCTTTATGCATTAATCCATTTTGTAGCAGGTTCTTTGAACTCTGTTCTGTCAATTCTTTAATTATAAATTCAAATATTTTATACCCAAATGAGCACAAAAGGCATGTTTTAAAGAACATTATTTTTTAAAAAAGTACCTAGATATTCCTCTACTAGTTTCCCAGTCTGACAGAAAAGCTTTTTTATATGCACTTGGAATACCCGACCACCAATTAGCTTGAGTCCAACTCGGCCTCTGTAATTCTTTCATCCAAACCACAGACCCCACTGGATGCTTAAGGAAACTGTTGTCCCACCTTTCCCCTTTTATATTTAATTCCTCTTTTTATAGGTTAAATTATGCAGGATTTGTTGAAAGTACAGGAATCTTCATTATTTACTGCTGCTTTAAAATTTAGGTATGCTTTTCAGTAGGTACTAATGCTAAAAACATACAATCAAGGAGGAAAGAAAGGGATGGAGGAGTTTCCTGAGCCAGTAATGGGTCTGGAGGTGGGCAGAAAACATCCTTACTAAGTGCTTTGCACTAATATTGGTGGAAAACAAAATGTAGTTTTCAATGTGACATTCTTGGCACAAAAAACCTACTTAGTAAGTAAAACTTGTACAATTATTCTGCTGATGCTTCTAGTTTAGAAAAGATTTTTCATGCTTATAAAACCAACCATTACAGATGTTTAAATGGGAAGAAATAACGACAATCAATACCCTCTCTTTATAACACTTTTTTTTAATCCTGGCTTTTTTGTTAATAGTTCTCTGTGCTGATATTTTATTCATGTTTTTTCTCTTGTATAATGCATGTTGAGTACTGTTTCTGGATCTTATGATTTCAATAGAATAAGCGAGAGTACTGCTGGATAACTCAACATATGGTAGTGTTGTTCGTCTCCTCTCCATTACCCTTTAAAGAGTAATAGCTTGCTTTCTGTGTGGGCTTCTAATTAATGTGCTCTTCTGCATCTCCTCTGTTCTTTTAATTCTGTTCTTCTCATAAGAGAAGGTTGTTTTCCTGGATTTTGTAGTCAGTGACCGTACATTGCTAACGGCACCAACTTCAATTCTCTCTAGGAGATTTGTATTTTTTTATTCTGTTTAGGTTTTTTTCCAGACCCTATTCTTGATTGATAACTACAGAGGAATTCAGTCTGGGGGGAAAACTCATTGGACTTTGGGAATGCCATATAGACTCAGAGGCCTAACATCAATTCAGTGCACTCACCGAGTCAGGTGTTTTGAATAGGAGCTATGTCTGCATATAACTGATGTGAAATTATACGAATAATCACATCCTTTAAGTCAGAATTACAATGGGAAGTATGGAAGCTGAAGTGATGGCTAATCACCATTAAAAGTGAAATTACCTGAAATTGCTCAAAGTAGAAAGGCAAAGAAATAAAGAATTTTAAAATTGAATTGTATTTTTTAGGTCTTTCCAATATTTTAATAAAATGTACTGCATAAATTGCTCAAAGTTGTGGCAAAATTAATCATCGTTACTGAGGTATGCTAATCTGTGTTGGTTTGGCTGCACTTTGAGGTTATGCTAGCTCATATTACCCATTTTACTTTATAAGCAAAGGCAATATGGAGAAAAACTAACCAACATACAAGACAACTTTGTCCTTCATACTTTACCAAATGGTACCAAAGCGATTGAAATCATGTCCTTTTGCAGGCCATAGAGACCCACCTCATTCGCAAATCAAGCGGGGGGCTGACGTACATCGCTGAGTGGAAGGGTGGACTGCTTGAACACAAGATGGGACATCTCACTTGTTTTGCTGGAGGCATGTTTGCCCTCGGTGCAGACGGAGCACCTAATGACAAGACGGGCCATCACATCGAGCTTGGTGCTGAAATTGCTAGGACTTGCCACGAATCCTATGATCGTACAAGTAAGTACTGTATTGCAAAATTTAGTTTCACAGTTTGACTTTGTGAAGGCAGCCATCAGTATTTTTGCGCAATGCTGAATGAAATTTGTATGATGGTGAGAACTCTTCATCCTTTCTGAGCAAATGCTGCTTTGCTCTAAGAGTAACTTTAAGAATGGCTGCTCTGTTTCATAAATAATTTCTGTGCACCTGAATCATATCTACTCACTCTAGTAATTAACATGACAGCTTTTTTTTCACTTTGCCAATTTCTGTATAGCCAAATACAAATACGAGAGGGAGCCTGTTCACTTATGCATCAATATAGCTATTAATCATGTTTTATGCACAAAAAATTATTTTATTCTCAGTTCTGTTGGTACAATGCTGCAAACAATAGAATTGCACAAAGAAAGTGGATTTCTGTGCAGGAAATTTCTTCGGATTCTTTCATCTTCTTACAAAAATAACCCTGTCAGTCTTTCAGGTCCCAGAGTGTATTTTCCAGTTTGATATAGAAAAGTAAATATCCTTGTCTTTTAAGCAAAATTTCACATGTTGCTAGTTATATGAAGTCTTCCAGAATGCAAATGTTAGCATCGCTATTCAAACTGGAACTGCTGTTTAAGGCATTGATGAAGAACAGCTCTCTCCTACTCTGAATTATTTACAAAATATTAAAACCAGGAGGTGCTGCAGTATCTTTCAGAAATGACACACCTTTTGGGTAACCTGGCTTTGTGCCACCTGAAAGGATAGTTGATTTGGTAGGTTACATGATGTGAAACCTTTTTTAATGGCTTTATTTTAGCATGTGTTTTTATATTGGCTAGGCATGAAACTGGGACCAGAAGCCTTCAGATTTGATGGTGGTGTCGAAGCCATTGCTACAAGGCAAAATGAAAAATACTACATCCTACGACCAGAAGTCATAGAGACCTACATGTACATGTGGCGGCTCACTCATGACCCAAAGTACAGGCAGTGGGGATGGGAAGCTGTAGAGGTAATGGACTTTTTTCTTATTAAATCCTAATATCTTGTTAAGTGAGCTATGGAATGATATCTGGATATTGTTTAGCAGTTGGAGAGTAAATATTTATTTTAAATTGGTAATATCAACTCAAATTTCCAGAGATTCATTTACTAAATAGATGAACTAAGATAATTTTGACAAAACCAAATACTGCTGGTATTGTATATTAGAAAAATACCTTGTGATTTCTCCTTCTTAAATACTTCTCAGATCAGGGTCATATTTGGATGTACTGCTCAAGATGTTGAGTATTGCATGTGAATGGAAAGTGCAAATGTGTGTCAAATTTGAGCCTTGGATATGGAAATAAGTTTTATGAAGTATATTTTCAACAGTAATTGTATGAAGGTGATTTCAATTAAGGTGAAGGCCAAGATGAAGTACTAGACAGTACCAAACATTTAAAAAATGGGTCACTTACTTTCAAAAAGCGTAAGTCATCTGGACTGAACTCCATTAATGATAACAATCTCTTCTAGATTTAAATTTCTGTGTCCCACTAGCCTTTGAGCTTCAACCAGTCATGCTGAACCTAGCTATTTGTGTTTGTCTAGCACAAGACTTCCAAGAGGGCAGCTAGTCTATGCGGCAAAAATTGGCTTGCCATATCCATTGTTTCCCTTATTTCAGCAGTTAATCACTCTTACTGTTAGAAATTAGAGCCTTTGGATTTACCATGTTTCATCCTCCAAGTACGGGTCCTTATTACACTTCTAGAGTTCACTTATTTTCTTCTCAAATTGATGTTGCCCTTGCTAAGGTATCTGCCTTTCACTCTTACTTTGGAATTTCTAAGCAGGCTGAGATCTTATAGGAGATACAGGAAGCTGAAGAACATTATTTTTGTGGCCCTGTATACTTAAGAAAAATTAAAAAAAAAAAAAAAAGAAAACAAGACAAAACTCTGTGTGGTATTTCGTTCACAGTGACCTCTCCTTTGCAGAGTTATTGCTTTCCAGGATTTCAAAAATGTCCTGTTTGTCAGTTTGCCCAACACCTCTTGTTTCTAGGATTGTATGATGATCACTTTCTTGGATGGGCCTACACCGCTAGTTGTAGAAGGTTGCTCTATCCTAAGGGAAGAACATGTGGGCTTGTGTCGTGCAATTTCTTATCCCCAAGGGACCCTACTAGAGAGCTGTTACTGGGTTATGACTCCATATACCTGGCTGTGACATGACATGCGCCAGTTATCTGGCTCCCTCAACAGCAACCAAGATCTGTAATTGTATTCAGTATTCACTGTGTGAGATACTGAACATATCTCAACTGTTGTGCAAATGTTGTTGAGTGTTGTGAAAAAAAGAGCATTTCAAGTTTCATAATTAGATATTCTTGAAGAATGAAATTTATTGTAAAATCTGCTTTTCATAAAAGAATAGCTGCTAGCATTAACTATACTTCTACCCTCTAACTCCTCTTTCTTTGAATATTCACAGCAATTCCATATCTGCAGTCAACACTCTATTCAGCTAGGTAGACTGTAGTTATTTAGGCCATTTTATTTGCCTCCCTCAGGCTTTGGCTCTATTGACCCTGAAACAATATGCTTCTGAGTTAATGATTCCAAAGCAATTTTTTTTTTAAACCTCTAATTTAGAGTGCTGTTCCCTTACTTTCTTCTTCGTTAACACCACCCATAGGCATACATTTTACTACTGCAATCTTCCCAGGCAGATTATAATTGGAATATTTACTATGGCTGTTTATGGAAGTCATCCCACCAGGCTTCAGCAATGCCAAGTGTCCCTTCTCCAGGAGATGTTTTTCCTGACTCATTGTTGCTGCCCACACTGATAACATTGTTACAAACAATTGAAATGTTTTCCTTATTATTATTCTTTACCCTGTTGGTTCAGATTGTTTGTGTTTATTTCAAGTTTGTACACTCGTTTACCTTCTTAGCGCTCCCCATGTGTTCCTTGTTTAACATTCTTGTGGCTACTCTCATCTGGCTCTAACATAGTGGATTAGAGCCCATGTGTGGGAGATGCAGCTGGTCCCATTCTGTACAGGCCCATCTTCCACTCTCCTAATGTGCAGTTGCATGTTTCACAAAAACAAAGCTTACAGCTTCTCAGAAGTTATACAGTCAGTTGTAGGTTTCAAATAATTTTTTTTCTTTTTTTTTCTCTTCTTCCCTGATGCTTATAGCCTGTACAGCTCCACCTGATACTGTATTTTTTTGTTCCAGCACGTGTCAAGATAGCTTACCACAACTATTTCATAAATTCTTCTCCCTCTCGCTCCAGAGAACACATCACTCCTCCCTTTTGTTCTTGAGGAAGTCCCTGACCACTGACTATGGTTGGTTTGATTACCAACACCTGTTGCACAAAGAGGAAGCTGAGATTGAAACAAGAAAAAAGGGGCAACACTCAGACCATTTGTTGTTGCCCAAAAAAGTTGTTCTGCAGGTGTTTATGTCCATTTTCAACTCATGACACTGGCAATAAGAACTCATTAGGTTTGTTTCCCAGTGCCCTTGTAGTAGAAAAGGAGGCTGCTCTATAGGTCATGACTTCTAAACTCTCCAACAAGTCTATTAATTCTTTCTCTAACTTTTGTAGACTAAAAACACGCTCTAGCCTCTCCGTTTTTTCTTTGGAAACTTGCTTTGCTGCTTTAATTTGAGTCCAAGATCATTCTGTATGTACTTCAGCAGTTGCAGAAAATGCAGTTATGACCAACAGCAATATCCAGTGTTACTGAGTCAGAAAGGTTTTATCAGCTTAGCTCTTGAAAGTCTGCCTTTCTGCATTATAAATGCAGCACATATTTTGAATTCACAGCACTTCTTTTGTTTTTTCCCTTTATGATACTTTGAGACTGTCAGCCAGTTTTCACTCCGCTTGATGTTTGCCATTACTCTAGCATAACTGATCTTAGCCACCCTCATTTTCTGAGAGCTACTAATTTAAAATGTGTTTGATTGTGTCTTACCACCCACCACTACCCCACTGTCAATGCAAACATCACTGTACTCTGAAACTGCAGGTACGGGCACAAAAGGCCATTACTGCCAGTTAAAGGAGGGTGACAACCAAGAGCCTTTTTAACGTACTAGCACTGCACATGAATGTCCTGTTCCTTCAGTTAAGTGGAAAGTAGCTTTGAGGGGTAAGATACTTCACATTTGCATCAAGTAGATACCACCAGATGGCTAACATGGAGCAAGTTAACCTCTTAGTTTCCATCATAGCAGTGTGTTGAGGTGCCTGTACAGTATCTCCCTACAATGAACTCATAAAGAAGGCTCTAAGTACATGTTAGAGCACATAAACCCCAAATGCAATTTGCTTTTATTTTACCTCACCCTGTTTAGAACGCAGATGTTTCTTTGAATAATAGCCCTATCCTTCAAGTTCTCCTTCTGCTGTGCCTTGGAAAACATAATCTTGTGTTTGACATTGAAAATCCAGACACAGATTCAGCATTTTGAATTCATTGCAGGTTGAACTAGACAAGAGGGAAGGAGTACCAGCCAGGGCAAATTACTTGTTTAAACTTAAGTGTATTTGTCACTTAGCAAAAGTGTCCAGGAAAATTAAAGAACCTAAAGACACATAAAAAAAGACAAATAGGCCTGTTATATTTTAAAGGATCTCTTCTGGAGAAAAATCCCTTTTAAATATACAATAGGCAGCTTACTCTCCAGTGAAAACTATGGAGAGCCTGACATGCAAGCTAAATATATGCAGATAGCTACAGGGATTCCAGCAAAACCAAGGACATTTAGGATATCTACTTACAGCAAAACACAGATCTTGAACAGCCTTTAGAGCAGGTGGAGGTGATGGATACCTCAATAATTACTAGTGACTTTTAGTCCCATCTGTCATCAGAAAATGCTTATTCTGTCCGTTTGCTTTTTTTAAACGTAGCTTCTGCCTTTTCATAGCTTTTTGCCATATGTGGTTTGAAATGCAGCATCTTTTCCTAAATAAAATCAACACGTCCTGTAATCACTTTAGTGATACTTGTAATAACTTCAGAAATGGAGGAACTAGTTGTCTTCCATCTCTCTGTCAGGGGGTTGATAAAGCTCCAGCTATTTCTGCCTGAACGTTGTTGCTCCAATACCTGTCTCCACAGCAAGCACCATGTTTCAGAGCAGTGTGGTCCTGAGTAAATGTAGTAATCCATCATGCTTACCATCATTGTCATTGTGAGAAGTTATTTAGGGCTGAAGAGTATTTTCTAGATTTGTTTTTGAATAATGAACTGTTTTAAATATAATCATCTCAGATTCTCTTTACTCCTTTATTATACTGCATACTAGAAAGTTATTATAAAACAGAATAAGAAAAATGAAGAGGCTAAGAATACTTTTGACCTTGTTAAATAGGTCAATTATAAAGAAGAAAGATGAATTAATATTTTTAAACAAAGCAGTGATAAGAGAACTAATATTCAAATAAAACACTGGATAGCAGTCTATTTAAAGAAGTTATGGCTCATATATAGGCATATAGGTACCACCTTTCTAATGCAAACACCTGTCTAAAATAAAGAAAAGCAGCAAAACGTATTAAATAGTGTAACTGTATATACCTTCTACACTTCCAGCACCAGGTACATGGTTTTTGCCCTTCTGTATACATCCTTCATCTGATCTTTTTTCTCCTTCAAAATTAGCTGATCATATAGAACATTCCTGTGGGCAGAAACCAAATTATATTTTTAGGTGTAAAATAGGAATCAATCATCTGTTTTACACCTTTTAACTGAGTGCACAGTTTGGAAACTAGTTAGAGAAAAAACACATCTCATTCTTACACCTAAAACATGTTGCGTTAAGTCCAGCCACATACTAGCTTTCCATCTACTCCTGTGTAACAGACAAAGCTTTTTCAGAAAGGTATCAAAGAAAAACAGTACCTACTGCAGAAAAGAAATTCAGTCACAACCCAATATCAGAGGTTTCCCATTGAAAAATTAGATAATTGCAAAGATAAGCCAAACAACTTGCATAGCAAATGGAGAACTGCCTTTCCTTTTTCGAAGCTACTCACAGGACTGGTCTTTATCATGGCATTCACTTTATCATAATAATTTTTAAGCACTAAAATATGACCAAGAAAGGTATACGTGACACGATCTCTGAAGGCTGATAGACAAGCCTGTGAGAGAGAGGCTATTGTTATTCCTATTAAAAAGAAGAAAAAGAAAATACATGAAAGTCCATATGTCTTCACATCCATGTATCTTTCCTTCTGAAAACTGGTTTGTGTTCACTTCTTTTATTAATTTATCATTTTGCTTCTCCTCCTAAATGTAAAATTAGACATGGGTGCCCATGTCTTTTTAAAAAGAGTTTTTTATTTAGAACTTTACCTAGTTTTCACCTCTTTATCAAAAAAATTGTGACAATTTTTTTTGGCTAGTTTTATTGTCAAACAAAGAAAAACTGACAGGTGATTCATTTTGTTAATCCCACTGTCTTTTTTTTTTCCCCCCTCTCTTCAGGCACTGGAAAAACATTGCAGAGTAGATGGTGGCTATTCTGGCATTAGAGATGTTTATAACAATCATGAAAGCCATGATGATGTGCAGCAAAGTTTCTTCCTTTCAGAGACACTCAAGTAAGTTAAGAAAGTTGACTTTCATTAATGTGAAGTAGTTCTCTGGATCATCTTTACAGGTGTATTTGTCATCAATACCCTTGACATTCAAGTAACAAAATCCGACTGAAACAGTAGAACTTTTCTTAGGTGACGGGAAGCCAAATTGACTTTTTTTTTTTTCCTTCTATATTAATAAACTAAATTCTATGACTTCTGGAAATTATCTTTACTTCTGATAAAGGTACCTGATAGTCTTTGTTGAGAAATTATGTCTCCTACCTTTGATAGGATCTAATTATACATGCTAACACTAGTGAAACAAATTGACTAGACAGAGGACTTATCAGACTTGTATTGCATACTTTTCATTTTAAAACTACAGAAAAAGAAAAAAAAAAAAAGGTGAACTTGCATGGTAAGCTTGCATGGCCTGTTAAAAGGAAAAACAAAAGCTTTCCTTATCTATCAGCGTCTCTAAGTTTTTAATGAAATAAGGGAAGTTTTGTCTTGGTATCTTCACTTTTTTCTTTTTTTTTCTCCTGTGGAAGAAAAAGTTGCAAAGACCAGAAAGAAGCACTCATGCCATTTCAACAGAAAGTGTAATACTCAAGTAAATGAAATATCGTAAATATGTTTATATACATAGTGGAATTTTTTTGAGGTAGTGCGCTGCCTCTAATACACCTTTTAAATTGGCCTATCAGAATTAGACCAAGAAAAGCCTTCAGGGAAGGATGGTGATTGAGAAGAATAAAATTTCATTTGCTAAGCAGACTTTCATCCCCAAGCAGACTTCAGTAATCATGCTACAGTAGCTACTACCTTCTATCATGACAATAAATAAAATGTTGGATTTGTTTATTGGTTACTGCTGGGTTTAATAGACCCTGTCTTAGTAAATAGCTGCCCAAGCTACTGATCGAGTGCCAGTTTTCTTCTTTAAAAATCCTAAAGCAGAGGTTGTTCTCAGAAGTAAGACAGGATTGGACTACAATATTTTCATTCCTATGCCTTGATATATGTGGACATTCAGAAAGAAAAAAATTACTATGGTTGTATATTATCAAAACAATATGTAATAAAATTACCAAGGAGGAAATGGAAGCAAAGTGAACCGATATTTAACCTTGATAGCCTAAACTTCTTTGTCCTCTATCAGGATAGAGGCGTTCTTTTGGGGGTCTCCAGTTGCTATTGCCCTTGAGTCCAATCTGACTTGAGTAGCCCCAAAGTTTTGTGCTAATCAGTGTGATGCTGGGACTTACTGGTGTTTTGTGTTTGGTCAGCTGTTTCCATCGATACATTCCTCTAGGGAAATCAGGTATTTATGTCTTCCTGAAAACCATTGTAGTTTCACTTCCCTGATGCGGTCACATTTCCTGCTTTTTTTCTTGCCAGGTACTTGTATTTGCTGTTTTCTGAAGATGATCTTCTTCCATTCGAACACTGGGTCTTCAACACAGAGGCTCATCCTCTCCCTGTTCTTCACAAAGACGATGGGAATAAAGAAGAAAACCAGAAATAGATGAAGATTAAGTTATACTTTGTTTCATTCCTTATGTTTCTTTCCAGGACTTGGGCACATGATTTGGTTTTAAATTCCTGAGTTAATTTTTTAAATGAAGTGTTTTGCAGTCTGTTTTCTTTGACAGTAAATATTTATGAATGGACCCCAACTGATTATGATAAAACTTCATTCCTCTTATCCAGCTGAACCACTTCTAAGAAGAGAAATAGGACATCTCTCCAGATCTTGTTAGGCTGCAGTGTCATCTTGGCCCAAAAAAAGCAGAGGGTCTGCATGTTACTTGTTTCCTGTTATGCTTTTAATTTGACTGCAAAATTCTTTTCTCCTCTGTGAGGAGATGTCTGCTTTAAGCTGTAATATTTTGCCATGTTGCAAAAAGCCATATTGAATTAAGTATAAAGAGCTTTTTTTTTTTTTCTGTTCTATGTTAATTTGTTTTGTGTGTCATCCAAGACAAATCTTGTGACTGTGACAGCCTCTTCTTATGCGGGTCTATCATTATTTGGTAAAGTATCTGATGTATTTCATTGTCAATGAAGTCTACATAGGAATATTTTCATCTCATGCAGACACAACTCTGAAACTGCAGTATACATTGAAGTTAGACTAAACTAGTTTCTATGAATTTAGCACATTAGTTAGCAGACCTTAGTTTTTCAGGTTTTGATTAGAATATTGTAACAGAATAAATTGTTTCCTTCCTTTTCTAAGTGGTGTTATTCTCATGTCTTTAGTCAGACCACTATGGAGTAAAATAAGATAGTAATTTCTTATTAAGAAAGGGACTGCAGCAAAACTAATATGGTTCTGAAAAGTAAACTCCTTTAAAGGTATTTAGTAAGATAGCTCACATGTCCAGCATAGCTAATCACAGCTGAGGAAGCACATTTGTTTGTTTAGGCATTACAGAGTACATTTTTTCTACACTGATAGAGGTCTGCAATGTAGGTTTTCTTAGGTAGAAGCCAAGAGCGAAGATAACGGATTACATTTTTATATATAGCAGCTGGAGGCTGACCCATAAACTTGACCCTCTGGAGCCTGTAAAGCCAGCACTGCCTCTCTGCTTCCCCTGCACAGAGAAGATGGCATGTGCCACATAAGCGGCCAAAGCCATTTATGTAGGGGGCAAGGCAAGAGGATCTTCAGCGATGCTGAGCCTGGGCAGCCCAGCGCTGGGAAAATGGATACAAGCGTATGTGCATCTGTCTCAGCTAAAGCCTCCTTATATGGAACTGGCACACTGGCTCAAGACTTTTTGCTTTACTGCTTTTTTATTATTATTTTCTTTTTTAAAATATGGATTCCCTCATGTCACAGTAACAGTTTTCTGAAACTGAACAAGCAAGGATGAAGTCTTGGCTCTCCTCTGTTGAAAAGCAGAACTCCTGCTGATTTTGATACTCCAGAATTTGTATCTTTGGAGGACTGTAACGTTTCATTGTACTTCTTCAGAGAGTAATCTCTTCCCTCTTTAACCAAAAAGTAATAAGATAACTAAGACAAAAGTCTTAGTTACCCTTATTGGGTCACCTGCTGCTGCCTACCACGTGGTCGTGCATGTGCTGCTATAGGCCTCCTATCAGTTGTTAAATAACTACAATAGTTCAGACAAAAACAGCCTTTGAGAAATGGGTTTTGTAAGCCTCTTTTTACGTGGTTTTCCTAACCACAGTATGCTTCCCCCAGATGTGTCTAGTGATCTTGCATTTACTTAACAAGCTGAAGAGAAACAGTGGAGAACCAGATAGCTCTTCTCCGTGTTTCAAAAAGCAGGCTACAAACACAGAATTCTTGTAGGCATTGGGTCCTGTGTACTCAAATATAAGCGTCATGACTGTTTCCTTGTAATAAAGACATTTAGTATGACTTTTTTTTTTTTAAGTTTGGGAGTTAACGATGATTTGGAAGAGCACAAATCTGATGTGACTGGTATTGGTATTCAGGTTGTATGTACAAACTGCACTATACTGTACTTTTTGTAAACTAATGTAAGTAGACGAGAAGATTGTACAACATGTAGATCTGCCAACTGTAAGAAAAAAAAACCTTTTCATAAACTGAGAATATATTGATTTTTCTTCCTTTTTTTTTTTAAAATAACCCTAAAACACCAAAGCTAGAGCAATCCTTTTGAAACAGTCAGTACTTACCACTGCTTGTTAGATTGCTGAGATAACCTGTGTTTTATTTGCCGTTCACTGATGGCTAGTGATGGTCACTTTGTGTTCCCAGTCATTCATACGAGCAAAAGAAATTGCTGGGGGTTGGGGGGCATTATCTTCGCATAAACACGCTGCCTATACTGTTTCCATTTCTTTGTAGCATAATAATGCATTTAAAGCTGCATATGTTAAGTCCTAAGAGGTAGGTCACTTTAAATGGCACCCACATTGTTTCATGGGGAAAAAAAAAAAATGTTTTGATTGTTTGTGAGATAAGTATTGCATATGTGTTGGTTGTACACAGACTTTTGCAATGCCCAATGGCTCACTGTTTCTATGGTGACTTCATCTTACACATTATCCATTTCTATCATGCATTTAAATTGGTTTTGATTTGTACATAGTCCATTTAGTCTTTTCATCTTTATATAAACTGAAATTATGGAATACATAATAGATCAAGATGCTTAATTTTTAAGAACTTATATTTGTAAAAATTTCTCTATTGTGAATAAAGTCTTTTAATATATCTGTTCAACTTGTTATAATTTTTCCTAAGCATGTTGCAGAAGTAACTACAGGAACCTGCTGCATGGTCTGGTTTGGCTGCTATACTCAGAATTTTTGGCAGCAGATTGGTTTGATACGGATTAGCACTCGGTGTACTTTTTAAGATACTATTGTTAATTAATGTTAGTCAGTGTATGGAATTGCTACCACAGAAATAAATTCCTAGAAATTTTTGTCAATAAAATTCATCCTAGCAAATGTACTTTGGTAGAAAGCAAGCTTGCTAATGACAAGCGGGAAGCTGGGAAGTCAGAGGTGGCAGGCAGTAAGCACAGTGAAGGTCAGTCACTCCGATTCATGTTCTGCACAATACAAGCAGCCTTCAGCTAAATGCCATTTAGGAGCGAACACCAGAGCAGAGATGGCAAGACTGTCACAGTGCCCAGCGTTACATGATCATGTAATGAAATGCTATCGTTAGTCCGTGCTCCAGGGGAGAGACGAACAGTTGTCATAGGAACTGTAACTACATTTTGTGTCGGTAAGATCTCCCATCTAAATGTTGAAATAACAGCTACACCTCATAGCTAACCTTGTTTTCTCTGTTTAGTAGAAAGCCTCATCCAAAGATGATAGTGAAATAAACCACCATGATTTTACAGAACAGTCTCAGTAGTATCAATTTCTGTCAAAGGACTTACTTATTAGGCCTGCTTAAGTAAGTCATTTTTGAGGGTAGCGCTTAGATCTGGTGCCTCGTTTTTTGCAGCATAGCTACTGGTGTGCAGCTACAGGGTGCAGTCCTCAGGGCAGCCAGCAGGCAGTCCCCTCCTGTAGCTGGCTCCAGGACCACACAAGCTGCTACTCAACAAGGTAAACATGAACTAACGCAAACCTGAGCACAGCACGTTATGCACAAGCGGTGTAAATACAAGCCTGGGTTGGATTTTCAACCAATTTAGTCTTAATTGGATGCTTGGTGTGCTTTGTTGTCTGCAGGGGAAAAAGGAACCAGGACCAAGCTGACAATTAGTCAAGACTAACAGGATTTGCCCTGCCATTTGCATTGCCCTATGGCCTTGCTCTACCACAAGAGTAACTCGGCGCTCATATGACAGCATCTGCTATGGAAACAGCCCTTCACCTGATCCACCTTAATCTTGGGATTAATCTGTCCTGGTTGATCTCAAATGCAGGAGGAAAGATTATGCATCAAAAAGCAGTCTGCCAAAGCCAGGACATGGTGGCAGAGACTCAGAGTTCCTTTCTGAATACTGCAAAAAGAGATAAACCATCGGGGTTTACTCTCTCCTGGTTTTATGCATTCATACATGCACAAAGCGGTGGATGGAGCAAGTCATGCAGCTGCAGAATCCAGTTAGAGCCCAGCAGGCTGTTAGCATTCAACAATACCTCAAAAGCAACCAGTTTGACCCTCATTTCTGAGGCAGCTGCTCCTCGATCTGCACCAGCTCTCACTTGCCCTGTATTTAAAATCACCATAATCAACCCCCCCCTTTGGAAGCCTCTCTCTCAAATTTCCACATGCTCTCCAAACTTTCTGTGCACACTTTGTGGAAGGCTGTTTGCCTTTCACCATTCCCATACTGACGTTTTACAGGACATTAAAGGCCCCTCTCATTATTAATACTTTATCCCTTCACTTCAGTTGTGCGTCATTTTCACGGCATCAGAGTAGCACAGAGCTACTGTTAGTCTTGAGCACCTCAAGTTAGAAAAAAAAAAAAAAAAAAAAGGAGATTGTTAATATGACTATTATACTGTCACATTCTGGCCATTGATGCATCTGCCAAGAGCATCACCCTATCACAAGGGGACTTGCTGGTACTCCAGAAGCTGAGAGAGGTGTTACGGTTGGCAATGCACACGACAGAAGAGCCCAAAGTTATTTATTTCAGCCATGGGGGATAGTTAAAGGATTCTGATGCTGCAAACAGTGATCCTACAGTAACGGTAGGTTCCATGATTTTAAAAAGTTCATCAGCACATATCCAAAGGAACACATAGGCAATGGCAGCCTGAGGCACCATGTAATACCCTGTCCCAGCTACTCCCAGACCCATAGGGGTCAGCCCATCAAAGGCCCACCTCCACACTCCCAGAGAAGCACTGGGACACACAGGCAGGTGGGAACCCAAGGGACTCCAGGCCCCCTCCCCAGGTAGTCCTAGGAGAGCCTCAGCCCTGGTGCCCGGGTGTCCACCCATCAAGATGAGTCAACAGGAGCAAATCTCCAGGGGGAGATTTTTTTTTTTTTTTTTTGGCATTGCACAAGACTTGTGGGATGTTTAGAGGAGGCATCAAAGGTGGGCTATAGGGATATAGGTGATTTCCCAAGGATGGGAAAATAGAGGAATAAGGGGCTTGCATGAGTGCTGAGAACACCTATGCTGATCTCTGTTGCTGGCTATATACATACATATATATGCTCAGTACAGGTCTCTACATGTGTGTGTGCCTACTGGGAATAACATGCTCAGCCCCATTACTGGCTGGACCCGGGGCACAGAGCTGTGGCAGCCTCACCCCTGCCAAGCTGCCAGATTCAGCTGCCCCAGCACAACACGGCCCAGCAGCTGCAGATAAGGATGAGGCTTTGGGAGCGCCTCCACGGTGGGCAGCGCGGTGGGCAGCTGTGTCACTGGTTGACCGCAGCTGGTTTGAACATCATTTACTAAACTACGTGGTCAAAGGCTTTCAGCTTTCTTGCACTGCTGT